ACAAGGGTTAGCTTGTGTGCGAAAATGTGCCCCAATACCACCGTAACGAGGCCCAGTAGAGCACGGAGGCGGGAAACGCACGGCACTCGCAAAACTGAAAATTCACCCCTGGGGGTGGGGCTGGGAAGGGCACCCCGGGGAACATAATATGTTCTTTTGCGGGTATTTCGGACACGACCATACTTGGCCGAATGCACCATATCCCGTCCGATTTGTGAAGTTAAGCGGCCACAGGCCTCGTCAGCACGGAGAGTGTTGATGGCGCTGGAACCCGGGGTGCCGTACCCCCCTCAACTTTTTTTTTTTTGCCACCATCTTGGGGTAGGTGCCGAGGACCTCTGAAGTGAATCACGGCTCGCCTTTGGCAATGAGGGCTGTCTAATCTTGGCGTCCAGCTTACGCACTTCCATCCCTCCAGGGAAACCAAACATACTTCACACATTGTTGTGGTGGGGCAGGCGGTGGGGTGCCAACAAACCAAAAATACCTATGGGGGAAAATGTTCTTATGGGGGTGTGTTTTCTTATTGTACATAGTTTTCCTTTTCTGCATTTCCCATGGTTTTCCTTTTCACACTACACATGGCAGTAGCGGAACGCCTTAACATATCACCATAGCAGAATTTGCCTTTATCATGAGGGTGTGGTGAATCCTTCCCTTTGTTCTTTTTGTTCATGGCGTTGGCCATCCAACAGCACCTTTTTTAACTCGTTTGCATGGCCACACCATGTCACGAGGGGAACGGGGAAGGGGCATCTTTGCGGAATACCTTTCAAACCCATCTTCCCCAGCGTTGAAGTAGGGAAAGCAAAGAGTTTTCCACTATGCCCAACCCCACTCATTTTATAAGTGAAACACCCCCGGGAGCCTTCCCACCCCTCTTCTTCTTGTTGCGCACAAGGCGCTGTGACAAGTTGGCCGCCCGCCTTGGGTGGTGGGGGTTGTGTGTTCTCTCCTCTCCCTCCTTCGGGTGAGGGATAAAAAAAAGAAAAGGGCAAAACCCGACAACGAGCCTCGAGCATTGCGCACGTAGACTGGTTGCCGGGTTTCATCCCTTTTTTTTCCTCATCCTCACTCTTCTTTTTCTCTCAAGTTCAAAGTCCCTGAGCATGATATTTCAGGCCTCAAGGTTCAGCGCCTCGGGACGTAAAGTGCC